ATATGCGTTCCGTAATATGCATATACGCACATTTTCTACAGTATATGTAACATCAACTATAGATAAATGCATATGCATATTACGAAATGCAACCAATGTCGACTAATGTCGCTGCTGCTGAAACTGAATATATTAGCTGTTTGAACTGCGATGCTACAGCAGAAAATGTTCGCCCTATTAGATGAAAAAGTTTCTACTGTATAATTTTGATTTTCCCTTTTAAATTACGCTTTACACTCATCAAAAACGCAAAACTGACGCAAAACTGACGCTTTGGGTTACAAATCCAAACCAAGATTTTCCGTTAGTTTGCAATCCAATTCAATGTCCGCTTTAACGCAAACAAATGTCTTTAATCGATGTCTTTCGTACTTACATGATAACGTTATTTGATCCTGACTTCACAGAAGGACGATTTCACACCCATCGGAAGCGCGATAATTTTCCCTTTCCAATGATCTTTGTTTCAAGTTGCTACGACGTCGACGAGTGGAGTTATTAATGATTTTATCGATCCGCGTTCTAGATCGTTCGGCGTTATCGCTGCGGCGAGCTGTGGATGAGTCACTTCGCGACGCGTGAATGGAATGCAGGAATGTTATTGCTACCGGCCGGTCACTCTGAGTTATACGCGACAGCATAACCACTCGGCTACCCCCACTCCGCGCCTCAGATAAGCTTAATGTTCCGCCCATTTGCTCGCTGCGGCCACGCGGTCGTTCACCTCACTTTAAAGGGGCGATATATTAGACGCTACATATGCTTTGAAACGCCGTATGGACCGATCATGGCTTTTCTTTAAGTGCTTCAAAACGTTTGTGACGTCTAAAGCTAGCCACACACACTTTCCGTAACAGTAACCGTAAAGGCCAATCACACTAACGATTGGCGATAGATGATTGACGATTGAAGATTGAAACTTGGACCAATTGGAACAAAGCAAACCAAGGCTGAAGCTTGTTGATTCGTTAAAATCTAATCTTTAATTGTCAATCGTCAATCGCCAATCGCTAGTGTGATTTGGCCTTAAGACGTAACGTAAGAATTGACCAATCATGTTGAGAATCGTCGAATCGTAAGGTCGCCATTTTTGTGAATACTCGATCGTAATTGGTCAATTCTTACGTTACGTCTTACGGTTACTGTTACGAAAAGTGTGTGTGGCTAGCTTAACAGATCGCACCAGTCATAACATGAAACATAGTGCGCCGACGCGAGAGTATTAGCATTTTCGACTGGCTCTGGGTAATTAACCCACTCTGGGTTATTCAGCTTACGTTTGGTCGAACAAGTACTTATAAGCTTTATGATTGGCTAGTAGAGACTTATGACGTCAATAATCGCTCTCGGAGCGATTAACCCAGAGCCAGTCGAACACGCTATAAGTATCAACGTCATACGAACGCGAATTTCGAGCCTGAACCGAGTATCGACACCACGACTTTAAACTACTATAACTCAAGGATGGGTCGACGTAGCGACATGAAATAATTTCCCTGGCACACGTTTGCCACACGCGACGTCTCGTCTATTGTAACAATGACGAGATTAATATTGTTACTGTGGATCAATATATAAGAATAAATATTGTGGTTATTTACAATAATAGTAGAGGACTGTTCACTTTCATGAGCTCTACTCACACGCGAGCGTTGGTACACATTCTGTATATATTTCCTATGTGATAATGAAAGAAATATGTAACAAAGATTTGAAGAGACAAAACTTGTTGTTTTACATACCTATTAATTATTCAGGTTCTTTGGATTTGGATGCTCGTTTAGGTGTACAAGTAGAACTTATTAAATTGAATAAAAATATTTTGTATTATTTTGCATAGACTCTGCTACAATAGTTAATGAAAAAGACTGGTCAATCAATAAGTGCGTTACGCGGTGGGACGAGCTCTGTTAATTATTAATAATTAAAAATTATTAAAAATTATTTTCTCACAGAGAATGCCCGAGATTCACGATACCCGAGAATGCATAAAATATTTAGAGATAACTGACACTTTTATAGCTATTCAAATAAATGTGCGCTTTTAATCTCAATTAATAAATACTCAGTTAATAAATTTATATTTCACAGCAAATACATTTTAGCTGTAATAGCCAACTCTTAGCAATGACAATAGCGATAGCCCTTTAATCAAGCTCGAATCAGAGATTCCATCGAAATTTGGCCATCGAGATTTGGCTGATATCAGCTTATTCCTTTACGCGTAGCTCTTTGATTTATACACGTCTAAGATATCCACTTATCCGACTTATCGGACGCACGTGGCCCACGTGTGCGATTCGGATCCGTTATAACTGCCTGTATAATGACGACGGAGCTCGGTCCGAGCGAAATCCGGATTCGCACTATAAAGGTCACGTGAAATACGACAGGCAGGCGGGCCGGCGTACGCGAAGTAAGTTGTAATGTATGGTTCCAGGTATCGAGAGGGCGCACAAGGAGGGTAGATTAGCGAGCCTGATAGGGGTCGAGGGTGGCCATGCCGTGGGGACAAGTCTGGCGGTGCTGAGGATGCTGTACGAGCTGGGCGCCAGGTATCTCACCCTCACGCACACGTGCAACACGCCTTGGTGAGTGTGCCGACAGAAATAAGAACGTCAGTGAAGCGCGTTTCTCAGCGGCCAGACCGATAAGAGAGAAAGAGAGAAGGGACAGGGAAGAGAGAGAGAGAGAGAGAGAGAGAGAGAGAGAGAGAGAGAGAGAGGCAGAGAGAAAGAGACGTTCTCCTGGTCCGTATTGGCAATTTTCTGGTCGCCGTTTTTACGGTTTCGTCCGTGGCAATAAGGAAGCGTTACTGATACTGATGGCACACGCGCGCGCGCACGAATGAGACAACGTGGTCTGCCTTCGGCGCGCCCCGACGTCGCTCGTTATTTCGCAACGCGGCTCGTCGGTTATCACACCTTATTACCTTCCTCATCCGCGGTACATTGCTACATTTTTCGCGAGAGAATAGTTCGTAATACCTCGCAATACACAGCTCGCAATACCCCGAGGCTGCATCGTAACGGCCGCGTCAGCGACTCTGTTT